TGTTCTAATCTCTGTAGCAGAATCTTATGATCTATTGTGTCAAAGGCTGCACTAAGGTCCAACAAGACGAGGACAGAGACAAGTCCATCATCTGATGCCATAAGAAGGTCATTAGTGACTTTCAATAGTGCTGTTTCTGTGCTGTGATGGGTTCTAAATCCTGACTGAAATTTTAACCGTTTCTATCACTTCAGCTCGTCTCTGTCACCGTCCTTAAACGCTCCCTTCTTCCTGTTAAGGATGTGCTTGACATCCCTGGTGATGCAGGGCTTGTTGTTAGGGAAGCAGCGTAGAGTTTTAATGGGGACCACAACATACATACAGAAGTTCAGGTAGTCCGTGGTGCAGTGGCTGACCCCCTCGATGTCCTCACCATGTGGGTCCTGCAGGACGCTCCAGTCAGTAGATTCAAAGCAGTCCCTCAGAGCCTCCGCTGCCTCAGGAGACCATTTCCTGAAGGACTGTGTGGTTGTGGACTGTCTCTGGATCCTTGTCGTGTGGTGTAAGCAGGACCAGGTTATGGTCAGACTTTCCCAATGGGGGCAGAGGAATGGCAGTGTAAGCTTCCTTCACGTTGGCGTACAGGAGGTCTAAAGTCCTGTTCTTCCTGGTGGGGCAGCTTACAAACTGGTGAAAGTCTGCCAGTGTGGAGTCCAGTGTGACGTGGATTTTAATCCCCAGAGATGGCGATGAAGGCGTCTGGGTGCTGTGTTTGCAGCCTCAATACGGTGGAGTGGAGTAAACACAAACAACAATGGCATGGGAAAACTCTCTAGGCATGTAATACAGTCTGAGTCCTACCACCAGCAACTCAATGTCTCTGTTGCACTCAGTCTCCTTCATCCACTCCCAGACGGGCAGAGATGATTTCACTTGTGGTCTGAGGTGGGCCAGGACCAGCCTCTCCAGAGCTTTCATCACATTAAATGTGAGGGCAACTGGTCGGTAGTCATTGAGGCCAGATGGAGTTGTCTTCTTGGGAACTGGAACCAGGCAGGACGTTTTCCACAGCAACGGTATCTTCTCCTGATGCAGGCTCAGATTGAAGAGATGCTGGAGAATACAAGCTAGCTGGTTTGCACAGTCAACCGTCTGGTCCCGGGCCTTGCTTTGATGAACCCTCTCCAGCTGTTTCCTCACCTGGCCCGTTGTCACAGACAGGCGGGGGAGGTGGAAGGTGTAATCCCTTCAGTTGAGGAGCAGCACTTTGAAGGTGGGGGGTTATGTCCAATGAGCACTACAGGGGGGGAACAGTGTGGGGGGGCAGAAGCTTTGGAAGCAGTGAGGGTGTTTGGAAGTCTGAGAGTGTGGTGGGGAGGACAGATGAGGGCTGTGTACTGAACCTTTTGAAGAACAAATTTAGTTAATTTGCCCTTGCAGGCTGCCTCCTGTCTGCTTTTTGCCTTAAACCCAGTTATTTCCCTCTTTCCAGACCACACATCCCTCAAATTGTTCTGCTGGAGTTTTCACTTCCTCAGCTTTCCCCTCATGTTGTATGACCTTCTGTTCGTGTCTGTCCCCAGACCTGAAGGCTTTCTTCTTCTTGTTGAGAAGAGCTTTCAGTTCAGTGGTGATCCAGGCCTTGTTATTCGGAAAGTAGTGCACAGTCCAGGCTGGCAAGGTGGTTTTATGTATTCTGTTATGCAGTCCAACATGCTGTTGATGTCCTCCCCATGTAGCTCACAGAGTGGATTCGAAGCAGTCCTGCAGTGCCTCAGTGGCCCCCTGAGTCCACCTCCTCACATTCCTTGTGGATGCAGGCTGTCGCTGGACAAGAGTTACATATTTCGTCAGAGTATGGGGAGGGCAGTGGCACTGTATGCATCCAGAGCATTTGCATATAGAAGGTCCAGTGTTTTACTGTCTCTTGTGGGGCAGTTAACATACGAATGAAGTGATATATATAAAAGCTTTGGGATGATGAGTTTGAAGCCTTGTAGTGTAGTGAATGGTGTCTCTAGCTACAGTGGCATCAGCTGATGGAGGAATGTAAACAGCGACAGCGATGGCCGACATAAACTCCATCGGCAAATAATATGGGTGCATTCCTACTGCTAGCAGTTCAATGTCCAGGCTACAGAGACACTCCTTCTGATTAATATGTCCGGGATTACACCATTTTTTACTCACATATAGTGCAATCCCTCCTCCCTTCTTCTTACTGCTCTGTATAACGTCCATCCGAACAGCCGCACTGTAGTCCAAGAAATCCAAGTGCAACCATGTCTCGGTGAAACACAACAAGCTGCATGGTATTCCCTCTGGTTCTTAGTCATTGGCTGAGCTCGTCCATCATATTCCCCAAGGATCTCACGTTTCCCATGGTGACCGCAGGAACTGAAGGTTTATGTTTCCTCCCCTTCAGTCTGGGCTTAGTTCCAGCTCTGCATCCCTGGCGTCTCCTCTGTAGCTCCTTCGGAATTTCAGGTTTCTCGCTGGGCAGCATCACAGGTTTACTCAGCACAATCAGCTGGTCGCATGAGTAAACAACGCTCAAATTGAACAAATTGACAAAAGTAACAAAAGTCGGGAGCTGCTGTAACAGGCTGCCACCTAGCACGCCAACTAGTCGCACGCAGTTGGCATTATGGCATTGTTACAAATAGGTGAAGAGCTTATAAGACAGTAAGTGCACAGAAATCTGCTGCTGTCAGCTGACATAATGTTATAATGGTTGAGCTTGATTTCGTTAGCTGCCTGAACTAATGTGTGGCAAGGGATGTTGCAACTGGGGGTCTCCCAACAAAGCCAGACACAAACCACTCAGGTTTCAGAGTGGCAGCTCTTCTGCTGCCTTTATATTCAGGGAAGCCAACATCTATCAGCTGTGTTGATTACCCCCCTGGTACTGTTGGAGCCACTTCCTTGACCACATAATGCGATGCTCAATTTCCCTTCTTAGTTTCCCACCAGTTTTATGTCTCAATCTCTCTTTTAACAGCTTTAAAATCATCACCAAAAATCATCAGGGATGATTCTACCAAAGTCAGAAATTAGGGCTCTACATTAATCCATAATGACATGATTGGATAACTAATGATTATGACAACCAACCAACCATGACCAAACTGACTGAATACTTGTGAACATGCGTTATGAGTATAAGGCAAGCTAATGATATTAATATGTTCCCAGACTCTGAGTTTTTTTTTTAATGTACCAACAGTCTTTAAATGTCCTGTTGAGTGGAATAAGATTACAAATTACTAAAAATATATCCTTTGAAAACATTTTTCCATTTGGAAGGTGAGGGGTATGAAACTTTTGTATCCCCCTTTGACTGACACTGACGACAGTTACTTCTAACCTACAGTATTTATTGCATATCTGGCCAATGATTACTTTCTTTTTTAGACAGTAATTTTAACCACAGAGTTTCTTATTTATTTGAAGCATCAGAAACTTTTCTTGGACACTTCCTTTGGCCACTCCATAATACTAGTAGCAGTTGGCTTTGTCATCTCCTTTGTTACAGTTACTCCCCTCTGCATGTAATTAGAGTATGTCAGTCATCATCTCTGACATCCACATATAATTACCATGTCACTCTGCTTATTTAGCTTAGTGGCACAGCAGTGTCTTTGTGTGTGTGCATGCATGTGTGGAGTGTGTTAATGTGTGTGTTGTCTATTTTCTAATAGTTTTCTCTGCTGTTTTCTGTCTCAGGTCTTATCACCACAACCTCAAGGAAACTGGACCGTGAACAACAAACAGAGCATGTTTTGGAGGTTTGTGTGTTTGTGTGTGTGAGAATACTCACCACACATATCCAGTTCACAGAACTTGAGGAGACACATTCAGGCACCAACATGCAGAAACTAAAATAACTTAATAAACATGTATGTCATTTATTTTCACGAAGACCAAATTATGTTGTTTTTAGCCAGTCTGAGTTCACCACACAAAGTGCTTTACAGTAGAGTGGTTCCATTCACCCATTCACATACATATTCATACACTGCCTCTATGTGAAGCACTTTCACACATCAATCACATATAGCTGTCAGGGGCAATTTGGTATTCAGAATCTTGGACAAGCTCGCAGAATGAGGGGAGACTGGGATCGAACCACAGACCTTCTGGTAGGTAAATGACCCACTGTATCTCCTGAGTCAAAGCCGATCTCATTTGAAAAACAAAAATATTATGTGGTGATCAGATTTGAAATCGTGGAGGTTACCACAAACAAATCAACGTCTGTGCACTGAGACATGTAAAAAATACCAGTAGCAGATCCTTCATATATGGCCCACATTTGTCTTCACACAGCTAAAAGAACTACCTCTGAATCGCGTCTCAGTGATCAGATTGAAATGCCAAGTCTGAACTGATCATTGAATTTGTATTGAGTCTCTCACTCTGTTCCACCCGTTCAGGTGATGGTGTCAGATGGGGGTCCTAGTCCCAAACAAACTATAGTGTGGGTGATGGTTCAGGTCCTGGATGAAAATGACAACAAGCCCACGTTTCCAGAGAAGGTCTACCAGATCAAACTTCCAGAGAGAGAGCGGAAGAAAAAGGGTGAGCCCATCTATCGGGTGTTTGCCTACGACCGTGACGAGGGGCCAAACAGCGACCTTTCCTACAGTATTGTGGATGGCAATGAGGATGGGAAGTTCTTCATCGACCCCAAGACAGCAGTGGTATCTTCACGCAAGGCTTTCACTGCGGGGAGCTACGACATCCTAACTGTGCGCAAACTAATCATTAATGAAGCATGTCTGCTAGCCTGTTTTAGGAGATTTTAGTTGAATATATTATGACCACATATTATGACAATATTACCCAAAAAAATTTGTGACATTGGACTAACTTCTATGCGGTTTTGCTTCAGATCAAAGCAACAGACAATGGGCGTCCTCAGAAGTCCTCTACAGCTCGCCTGCACATTGAGTGGGTCCGTCGACCTCCTCCCTCAACTCTCCCACTGCTCTTTGATGAGCAATTCTACAACTTCACAGTCATGGAAAATGATAAGGTGGCTGAGATCGTGGGCGTGGTGTCTCTGCAGCGGAGCTCTGCCCACTTATGGTTTGACATCACAGGTAAAATGCACCTGTGAGGATGATGTCTGTCAGCGAGTGCAGGTCTTTGTGTACTGTGAGCAATTGTGTGCCCAGGCTCGGTGCATGGTGTGAGTGGGGCTGACAGTGTTGGTGTTTGTTTATGTATATGAGGTGCAGCTCACGTATTGTGGCCCCGCGGCATGATCTGTTGTGCTCTGCCCATCCCACTCACCATGGCAACTGCTTGTCCAGCTGACAGGTCTGTATATTGTGTGGGAGATGAAGCAATTAGAACTGTTCGTTTTCATAGAGAACTAAAATACAAGATACATAAAAGTTTATTTGTGTTTGTTATCCTGAGACTGCTTTTTTCACTTTAGGAGATTTAGTTTTATTCTTGTTAATAGGATTAATTTATTTAGTTTCTTATATCTCTGCTCAGAGAAGCCACAGACTTGCTCTACATGAAGAACACTGTCAGTCTGTAAAGCTAGTGTGTTCCCCTGTAAAGAGGAAATCAACATGGTAGACTTAAATCCCTTTGATCCGTCCAAATTCACTTTTGCCCACTTGAAAGGCTTAACCAGATTATGATATGCCCAGCGAACTAAGTCTAATTTTCATGCATTATGTATAGTGGTTCTGGTAAAAAGGATAATTCTAATAATGTGTATATTTGATTCTAATTTCTATTAGATTAGATTTCAATGCCATAAAGCACAACATATACACTTGATAGTCCCCTTGCTGAGATGTAAGCACTGTGGGCCCCAGGTCAGGCCAAACTAGATGGAAAACAGCAACAAGGTTCCAACAATGCACCATCCATCTTTCCTTTTATTGTCACTGAGCAGTGACAGTCATTGTGTATCCAGCTGGAGATACCTTCTTGGCTTGTGCTTTTGGCTAACTATAGCATCGCCCGTCTCCTCTATCTTTCTCTTTGTGTCTGGGCCCATTTCTCTCTCTGTCTGTTCACACTCTCCTATTTCTCTGTGTTAACAGCCTCTCTCAATCTCAAACATTAAATATTTTCTTCAACTATACATTAATGTCTATTAACGAGAGAATCATCATCATGATCATTATTGTCACCATCATTAAACTTTAGATCTTTAAACAATTTAGCATTACTGCAGTATAAGAGTATATATACAACCCCAAATCAGAAGAAGTTGGAGCGGCATGTTACATTTCAAAAACTGAGAACAGTGATTTATCAATGATCTTTGTGAACTGTATTACAGTGAAAACAATACAAAAGCACATTATTTGATTTCTGCGTTTTGATGTGTGCCACACATTATCTTTTGTGGCCAAGTCAGGATCGCACGCAGGCCAGTCCAGCACCCACACCCTCTTCTTCCGCAGCCATGCCTTTGTAATGTGTGCAGAATGTGGTCATGCATTGTCTTGTTGAATTATGCATAGATGTCTCTGGAAAAGATGTCGTCTTGAAGGCAGCATGTGCTGCTCCAAAATCTCTAAGTACTTTTCGGCAGTAATGCTGCTTTTACAGAAATGTAAGTTACCTGTGTGTGTGTGTATCATCAGCAGGCTAATCCGGCGGAAATTCAAAAATACTGGGGTTATTTAAACATCAATTTCTTTCATTGGCAGAACGAGAGAAACATACTCGCCATTGTCGCGCTGTGCTTGATTTAAGGGCCTTACAGACCATCTAGACTCATTCTATTTAATTACTAGCCCTTAATTGCCTGGATGGCAGACATTTATGTATATTTACAAATAAAATGAAGCTGAGCAGACAAAACATAAAATATATTATGTTCATACTGTCTGCAATGAAATACAATTCAAATTAAATTTAGAAATCACTGCTGTAATTTTTTTATTTGTATTTTCCATACAGTCCCAACTTTTTCTGAGTTGGGGTTGTGTATATATATGTGTGGGTGTATGTGTATGTGTGTGTGTGTGCGAAGGCTTTACAAAAAAAGCTTTACCACAACAGTTGAAATAATGGCCCTAAATAATGAAAATTATTTTTTTATGTTAAAGTGCAAAAAGGTTATCTGTTAGAAACAAATATCAGTATCAGTGTGAAAACCCATGACCCAGTGTAGCATCACAAAACCAAGACCACTAACAATTTCCCTCTGGCAAAATCACTAGTGTTCAATAAAGTGACACTCGGTAGACTGCACTCATCAGAGGCAGCTGTGTCTCTACCTGTCTTGTCTTGTCAGTCTGTAAACCTCATTTCCTTGCACATCATGTCATCTTCCTGATGTCCTTCTCGAGCCTGTCAGTCCCTCCTGTCTCACCTTCTTTCTCCTCTCTCTCCTCAATGCTTCTTGCCTGGAAGGTCCCAGGTCTTTCCGTGAGATGTTCTATATTCTGCAGAGCGCTTGTGGCAGGAACTGTTCCTCAGAAGGTATCTCGCTTTCAACTTCCACTATTCCTCTTTGCTATCTTTTTTCCACTGCCTTTTTTCCCCTTATTTTCTTTTCCCTTATCTCTTCTGTTGGTGCTCATCTTCCAACCCTTTGCTGATTATCCATGCTGCTGATATATTCCTATGATCAGTTGGTTGGATGGGTGGATCAGATCCCACAAATGCTCAACCTGAGCAGATGTCAGTCTGTGTGGTTATCCCATATGTGTGTGTGTGTGTGTGTGTGTGTGTGTGTGTGTGTGTGTGTGTGTGTGTGTGAGTGTGTGTGAGTGAGTGTGTTTCACTTTAATGGACTACATTGCCGCTGAGGTTAACTGACGAGATGAAGCTTTAGTAAAAAGGTTTCACAACCTTTTAATCTACTCCCATGTGAACAAACCCAAGGTTACCTGGGTGACAGCCTATCTAATGACCTGCTGTTTGCACATTCCTAATGGAATTTATGCATTCCTTCATGCAGCACAATATTAAGGCAGGTTCACACATGCACAGAAATGTTCCACTACTCATTGACCCATTAGCTACTCTAATGGATCTATTCGACTGTTGGGCAACTAGTTTGGGACTGAATAAGCATAACATAACTTGTATCACCCTATGTCCAGCAAAAACACCATACCCCAAGCCCCCAGTGCCCAAATCATTCCTTCAAAGCCAGCAGACAGCATTAAGCATCCAGCTTGTCAATTAAGTCCCTCACAAAATGTAAACAGTGTGAATATAAAAAGGCAAGTGAGACATGGGAGAGCAGGGAAAGAGACAAGCAAAAGAGAAAACAAGCAATGAAACTGTATGAGGAGTTTTGGACTTGTATCTTGTATGTTGAAGAAGCAAAGAAAGGCTGGCATGTAACCCTAAACTCGTGTGATTTGTTGTCAGCAGTGCATAATGCTGAGCTATCCATTCATTTTAATGCATACCAACTTAAAAAATGTATAAAGCTGGATACAACTACAGAGGGTGAATTGTGAGGTGTGTCTTTCGGAGGTGGTGGAGAGAGGGGCTCAGCAGTCTACCTTAGAAACAAAAAACATTGTAAAAGGATGAGTAGAGAAGCTGGAGCCGCTGTATAATAGAAAAGAGTAATTTCTAAACCCCTCACCCACACGCTACATTGCAGAATGCACACAGACCATATGCATGCTCACACCACATCCTCTAAACACACACCAGTGATCCATTTATAGCTGAAGCTGCTTGTGCCCCACCCAGCAGACTGAGCTAGACAGACACACACACACATTTACAGAGAGGGTACATCTGACTGAATCACACAGCCTCAGTCTGGTCAACATAATCTATACACACCCACATGCTGCAACTAAAATATACAGTGTATATACCCACATAGACCTCAACACAAATTGTATGTGCACATTATTAAGTCTTTATATAACCATGGAACACAGGGTTAATTCAAATTGTATATTTGGACATTTTAACAGTTGTGGCTGTGGGTCAAACCATTCTTATATGGCTGTAGGTCAGAGTCATCCACAAACCAGAAGGTCAGTGGTTTGATGCCTGGCACCACCAGTCTGCATTCCAAAGTTTCCTTGGGAAAGATACTCAATCCCAAATTGCCCTCAAAAGACCAAAGAAAGAAATATAGAATGAGAGATTGAATTTAGATTCAGATGACAGTTTTTTCACATGTGCAAAAAAAACTTTTCTTTGTCTCTCTGCTTCCTGTTACTAATGTTCTACTGCAATGTTAGGTGAGGCATCAGTGTGTTCTTTAGTGAGACAGATGTAGAAAACAATTTGAAAAAAGAGCAGTTTTTTTTTGTCTCCCCTACTTTGTGGGTTTTCTTTCTCTGTAATTTGGCATCAGCAGACCAGAGGCTTTTTCCAGCCTCAGCAGGCTTTTGCACATCAGCTAAACTTCACCAAATATAATAATTCATAGATGAAATTAGAAATGCCTGACTATTCACATTAAGTTTGAGGGAGATTAAGCAAATAAATTATTATAAGAAAAAAAACGCACAGCATTAAAGAAAGATGGAATCAACATTAAGCAATGATATCTGAAAAAAGATGAAAGACCTGGGTACACCCAATGTTGACAAATATAGTGAGGGAGTTTCAACGGGTTAAATGTTTAAACTGTACCACAGCAGCTTTAAGAAAATTGCATTATTTCCATTCAAAAATGTGAAGAACTGTTTGCACCTAGCTCATTTTAGTATTCAGTATTTAATTTAAAGAAGGTTATGTTTGTTATTAAACAGTCCCAGCTGTTTGCATTTAGTTCATTAATTTTCTTCAACAGGAGCTGGGTTGCCTGTTGCTTGATTCTATTAGGCTAAATCATATTAATATATGTCATAAATCAAAAAATAAACATCATATCAGAGTGGATAGAGGATGAAGGTGTTTTTCTTCTATTACTCCTGCTTCAGCCTGTGACGTCATCAACAACAAACATTCTCTCAGCAGTTTGAGTCTGCTACACACACAAACACACACACATTTTAAATGGTCTGTATTTATTTAAATAGCACTTTTCTATTCCTGATGACCACTCAAATCAACTGTACATTTTTTACATTCACCCATTCACACACACACACACATACTGTGCATCTATGTGCAGCACTTTCTCTATGAGAAGGGGGCAATTTGGCGTTCAGTATCTTGCCCAAGGACACTTCGGGAAAGGGCAGGACTAGGATCGAACCGCCGACCTACCTGTAATAGGACAACCTGAGCCACAGCCGCCCATGTGGCCCAATGACATCATCAATTCTATAGTAAATTATACAGCTAGAGGTCTTGAACCTATGATTTCTATATGCTTCTAATCAAATCAGCATGTATGCAGTGCAGACAGTAAATGGAACACACACATAAAAATGTTGCGTTGTTAGTGTGCTTGCATGGCCTGTGCTTCACTGTTTCCATGGTCTTTTCAGTGTTGGTTTGCAGGAGTGTCTCTGTCTGTATGTGTGTAACCATCATATTTTATTCTGCAGGTCTGGATTCAGAGATGCCTGCAGAATATGAGAGAGAAGAGAGAGAAAGAGATATAGAGAACAACATGACTGGTGGGGGTGGGGGGTGGGGGGGATTCACAGGGAGCCACCTGTATATGGCATACTTACAAAATATCTGGGTGTTTCAGGACATGACTGTAAACAATTGGTCCATAAAAAACGGTCTGGTGTGAAAATGTATTAACATATTCATCATAACTGTTGTGTGTTGAGTGCATCTATATGATTGACACTATGGTGACAATTTGCCTCCCCCTCCTCTTGTTTTACCTTCCTTTTGTGGAGCAGGTGGGAACAGTGACAGTGTATTTGACGTAGAGAAGTCTGTGGGCACTATTGTCATCGCCAAGCCTCTGGATGCTGAGCAGCGCTCCTTCTTCAACCTGACAGTGCAAGCCACAGATGGCACCAACATTGCATACACACAGGTACCACATTACCGCTACTTACCAGCCGTTCATTGTTTGGTGTGTATATACTTGTACCCCACAACTGTACACGCCTTGGGGGAGAGGTGGGGTACATACTACACAGTTTACCAGTCAGTCATAGGACTGCCACTCAGGGACAGAAAACCAATCATTCTACACATTCACACCTATTGACAATTTAGATTTGTAAATTAACCATTGCTCTGTGGAAAGAAACAGAAGTGCGTAAAGAAAACCACCCACCCAGAGAAGAGGAGAACATGCAAACTCCACACAAAAAAGCCAGTTGAGACCCACAGCCTATATCAATTAATGAATCAAATTTTATTTGTCTAGCCCATATTCACAAAACACAATTTGTCTCACAGGGCTTTACAAGCTGTGACTTCCTCTGCCCTTAACCCTCATCAAGAGTAAGGAAAAACTCCCAAAAAAACGTTTTAACAGGGGAAAAAGAACGTAGAAACCTCAGAGAGAGCCACATGTGAGGGATCCCTTCCCCCCGGACGGACAGTGGTGCAATAGATGCCATGTGTAATGGAGAATGTCAGAAATATAAGAGTAATTACAGTGTATGTTGTAACTGTGCTGCCACATCATATTTTTGATATTTATGTTTTTTTGACTCAGTTTTAGCCATTCCAATTTATGGTCTGATCTAGTCCCATTTATTCAAAAATGAATAAGGGGAAGCATAATGACTGGATCACATTAGATACAGGGGGGACTCCCTGAACAGATGATGTAGAAAGATATGAGCATGGAAAAGTTAATTACAAAAAAATTATCAGTAAAGGTTCATCTTCAGGGATGAGACCACTTAGAGGTTTGATTTGAGGAAGAATTACTGTCTTTACAAATCATGCATGTCTTCAAAGGTAAGGATGTGTTTGAGCAAGTGATTTTTTACTAAAACCAGCTGGGAGTAGTATCATCATCCTCCTCCTCCTCCTTATCATCATCAGTACCATCTGACATCAGATTATCCCACTGACGAACACTCTTTTTCAGACATGAAATCCGGCTAATGTCTGCACAATTGAGTCTGGACTTTGTCCGGGGATTGCCTTTCAAACAAGGGGTGGCTAAAAATGCAGGAGGCAGGACATGATGTATAAATTCTGCTGTGGAGATCACATATTTTTGTTTAAACCTCAATGACACAGACAATCTCAAATCTCATTGTCTTTCCAATTTGACATCTGTGTCTTTGAGGGTGTATAGCACCTCTCTTTTGTTCTGAGATATTTTTAAATGTAATTGTGCGTCCCAGAACTAACGCGCCCAGTTGCTTGTGTTGAATCCTTCGAAAATGTTCCTGCTGTCTTCTTACATGGGCTCATTCGGACATTTTATGAAGGGGGCTGGCATGAAAAACTCTGGAGATAGCCCGCAGCAACTGACTTGGACATTTTTCTTCTGACATACAGCACCTCTGGATATGGAGTACAGTGCATGTCTGAAAACAGCTTCTGTCTCGTCTGGCTCTTTC